ATATATATATATATATATATATATATATAATTAACATTTATTCTCATTGAAACAAAAAAATAATCAAGAGTCTATATTTTCAAAAGTTTGTGTTTGAAAATACTTTTAATATTTTTTTGTACAGTAAGACAAGAAGACAAAAGATGAAGAAGCCCAAAGAAAGATGACAGTACAAAAATCCAGCTCCAGCCTGATATCACAATCGATATAGACGATGAAAACACTACTCTTGAATTACCTGGGAAAAAGATAAAGATGGGGAATGATTGAACTTGACTCAATAAAAAATAAAATAAAAGGAATAAAAGACATTAATGTTTTCTAAATATTTATAGAATAGTTTAATTGTTTTGAGTAAAATTAGAAATCTTTAGAAGGGATTTTCATGAACTTTTTTAGTACTTTTGTATATTTATGTGGATGCTTTTATTAATATGAAAGTATAGTAGAGTTAGCATGAATTTTTAGTTTATGATTTTTTATGAAGTTTATCAATGATTAGGAATAAACTTTATTTTCTCTTTACTTTAGTTATAGCCCACTTTTAATCAATAATCTTAACTTATTGACTTTAATTATTCGTCTTTCTTTTATAACGCTATTTTTTTAAGTGTTTTCACTTTTGCAACACTATACTTTCTCAGGTGAAGTTTAGTTTCATGATGGTAAAATTTAAACTGACCTTGTTTCCTGTCAATTCAATTATCAACAAGAAAATTTAAATTTAGTGTAGCCCATTCAAACAAACATTAAAGAAAATAAATAATCACAATACTGAAGCTTAGAGACATAAGTGAGCAAAAATTATCAACGTAATTAAAATTGATGAATAAATTTAGTAAGGAAATAAATCAATATACTTAATCATGGCATTTAATTAAGTGCATTGCACGTGCATAAAACCTAATGTGTGTGTGTATAGACACACGCACGCCAATTTGGAAATGAAGCAAATTGAGTTTTCACAGTTAAAAAGCTATGCAATTATGATATATTGCTAAACCTCAATGTTTCACTTATGCAAGTCTTTTTTAATATTAATAAATACCATATTATTTCCATTTAAAATTTTAAAATTAATCTCCTTTTATGCTATGTTTGGGAGTTTACTAATGGACGTGAAGGGAAAGGCAAAGGAAAGGAAGGGAAGGGGGAATGTAATAATCATGCTTGAGAGTTTAATAAAGGGAATGGAGATGAATTATTTGTTAGTTGTTGGATTTGTATCATGATGGTTTGAAATATTTTACTTCCTCTACACCCCAATTTGGTGGGGAACCAAATTATATAGAATGGTGGTTAACAGATGTAAACTTTGTTACTTCCATTTCAGTCCATTCCCTTAAAAAAACTCCCAAACAAAGTGAATGTATTTACCTTCTTTTCCCTATCTCTCATTCGCCTAGGCTCTGAATCATAAGATGGTATCCCTCACCATGTGTCTTCTGGTGGAAGCCAACCAGAGGCCGGTGAGTTCTTTTTTCCCGACAATTTGTCACTTCCTTTTTCCCGTCATTTTTGTATTAGAAAATATTTAAACGTCCTATTTATCTTTTCATCATTTTCTCTTTTCTTGTCAAAAGAACACAAGAAGTTTCTTTCACCTACATTATGTCGCAAACTGATCTGATGTTTCTTTTTTCCATTGCATTGTCTAGTTGTTCCTCTTCCTGAAAATGAAGAGGGTAATCATATCACAGTATCGGGCTTTATCCCAATTGCTCTTGCTCTTGTAGCAGAGTATACTCACTAAGCATTCTCTCTGCTCCTTTTTGATGTTTATGAAATAAATAAATAAAGTTGCTTAATATTTTCCTCGAAATGTAGATGACAATGGGGTTGCAGCAACTGTGGGATATTCCATTTGAACCCGATCTTGGGATACATGCACCAAATGGTAAGGACAACACTGTCTTTGTCATGCCTCGGGCATGCGAGGGGGCGAGTAAGTCCTAGGACCCACGGAGTGCAACATGTGGTTTGGCTCAATCTGCCAAAATTGACTAGTCAATATTACACTTGGCTCTTACATCAGACTAAATCTTGTGGTATCACAATCACCCCACCTTGATTGCGTGACATCCTCATCGTGGTATGATAATTGGTCCGTCCTAGTATCACCACCAGGCGATGTGAACTCTAAAGGTGGTTCCTATGGGTTTCCAGAGCTGACTCCTACTGTACTCATACAGTGTAGCACTTAGTCCCACATAGTATTTAGCACCACATTTTTAGTGGGCTAACTACTCTAATACCATTTGTCATGCCCCGGGCTCGTGAGTCTTTTGGCAGGATGTAAGCCCTGGGACCAATTGAGTGCAACGCGTAATTTGACACAATCAACTGTCAAAATTGACTAATCAATGTTATACTTGGCTCTCAAGATCTATCATTTAAACCATTCAATCACTCAATTAATATACGACGTGGGACTAAATCTTAGGGTGTCACAGTCTTTTTTCTTTCCTTTTGTTCTTATTCATTTATTTGATATAATTACTTGATCCTTATAACTACAGATCTTTGTTTTAGGGGCAACCTATCACTTCAAATGTTGCTGCCTATGACAATGCATCACCTATTAGAGAGAATGCACCCGTTGGTGAGAGGCCTTCTCCCTTGAACCGTTCTTTCAGGCCTATGGTTCTAATAAAAAACACACTAACTTAGCTCAATCTCTTTTGTTCAAATTCTAGAGGCACAATCTCCTCCAACGAATATATATGCCCATTGCAATGGAGAAAATACGCCAGCTGATAATATGATCGTTCTAAAGTTAAAGGGTAATTAATTAAAGATATCCCAAAGGTCTGCATGATTTTCAAAATTATCTTCTGAGGTTTTCAAAGTGACAGTTTGAGTCCTCCATTTCAATTTTTCTGATCTTAATTTTGATGTGGAAAAAAAAACCCACACCAGTATAAACAGGTACATGATTATTACATTGAAAATGGGTAATTATTTGACAAAGATTTTAACATTCTTTCAAACAGGTACATGATTATTGCATTGAAAATTGGTAATTATTTGTCAAGAAATTTAACATTCTCTCGGCAGCAAACTTTCCTGCAACTTTATTCTCTTCCTCTTCATTCTCTTCCTCATCCAAAACAAGAAGCCTTGTACGACCTCTTTCATATATTTTTCGAGGAAAAGCTTATCCGAAATCTTCCACTCCTTGATCTGATAGAGCATTTCAGGCATATTCAAGAAGTTATGCTTTCAGAAGCGGATCAAGCGTAATAAGGTCAACTTTTATTGCACATTTCAGGCATATTCAAGAAGTTATGCTTTCAGAAGCGGATCAAGCGTAATAAGGTCAACTTTTATTGCACAAAGATCCCAAAATTTATCAAGCATATCAAGAATCTCAATACTGTTTCAATTTTCTACTCTTTTTTGTTACGGACAGGTGTATAATAAGCGAGAAATTTGGAGAAGGAATGGTATAAAAAGGAATTGGAGGAGTGGGAGAAGAGGGTTAGACTTAATCCAATCAAGCTCCAAGGATGTTCTGGTAGTGGAGTATAATATGCATATTCTTATGGGAAAGTAAACCGTACTTGGTGACTTAATCCAATCAAGCTCCAAGGATTTACTGATAATGGGTTATAATATTGTCTATTCTTATGGGAAAGTAAACCATATTTGGTGCTATGTCACTTAGAATCCATTCTTATATTTGTAAATGGTATTTGGCTTGTAAATGTTTAGAATCAATAAAGATGAGAAAGATAGAGTTTTATCCATTTGTGTTGTTTGGTTACTTATGGAACTTCACTTATGAATCTATCCTTCCAACGTCTATTAGGGGTCTGACATCATGCATAATGTGATACCCTAAAAATAGTCCCACATTGCATAGATGTTGTGATATAAATGAGTTTAAATAGTAAGTCATGGGAGTCAAGTTGCAATATTGGCTAGTCATTTTTGGACTGCGGATTGAGCCAAACAACGATTTGCACTCACTGGGTTCTGGAGCTTGCCTTGCACAAAGGGACTCGCGGGCACGTGCAGTTCTCAGGTTATTTATGAACCTGAATGATGCAGTTCTCAGGTTCTACAAGTTCTTCTGCCAATAGATAGCAGATGAAATCTAAATCTTTCTTTTGTTCTCTCAGCAGACAGAGACCACTTTGCGTACCTGAAGACTGGAACAAAATCATTTGGCCAATGAGCTTTTATGGTTCTAACACCTTATTTTTTAATATTCCATTGCTAATTTTGAGGCATACACAATTATAAAAGCAAATTTCCCCCATCTTTAACCTTCCTTCTTCGTTGAGCAAAGGATTATACTCTCAAAAAGTGAAACTTCCTCTCTCAAGCTACATCTTTTTCCTCGACATTGTACCCTTTCAACTCAAGAAAGCATTTCACTCCAAAGCCTTTGCTCAATGTTAAATACCCCCTTGTACATCATTCTTCACAGTGCACTTGCGAACTCAATACAAGATCAAAGAGAGAGAGATAGAAAATGAGTATCAAGGTGTTTGGATTGCCTGCATCAACCGACGTTTCAAGAGTTCTTACATGTCTCTTCGAAAAGGAAGTCGAGTTCCAACTCATTAGGATTGACACTTACAAGAAAGATCACAAGGTCCCTGAGTTCCTCAGGCTGCAGGTATATCCCCATACCAATATGTTATGTTATCGCATTTATCTTTTCGGCATTAGTTCTCATAATGCAATTGTGCAGGACCCTTCTGGTCAAGTTACCCTCAAGGATGGAAAGCTGACATTTGTTGGTAAGTGAACGTTTGCGTCGATGATTCTAGATTAAAATTTAAACTCCTTGAAGTATTTGACAGAATCAGAAAAAGAAAAATCTTTATTTATCAACTGGTCAATAAGTCTTTCTAAATTTATATGTTTGACTCATATTCCTTCTCCTTTTCAATTAGTGACGTACTTTGTTAATGGTTCCGATGAAATTGAACACTCTCACCTTTCCCCCTTTCTATACAAAGTTCATCCTATCTTACTCTTTTTCTCCTTCTAATCTTTTGTGTTCTCCTCCTTATTTCAAAATTTGATTTCAATATATATTGGTAAAGAGAAAAAAATTGATACAAAAAATCATCTGAAGATTCATGCAAACAAAAAGAAGTGTTTTGAAATGCAAAAACATTCAAATTGAATCTTATAGTCAAATTAAAAAAAATTAAAAATATAACAAACAAAATCTGAGAGGTGATTATATAAGTTATAAAAAATGATAGGGATTGAAAAGTAATTCATAAATCTTCTTAAATATGGGTATATTAGTAATGTGACAAAAGTTTTCTATTTCCAGGGATTAATCCAGGAGGATTTTCTGAACTAAATTACATTCAAATAGGACTAATAATACTTCCAAATTCTTTCAACTTGTAGATTCGAGGGAAATATGCAGGCACATTTGCGAGAACTATCCAAACCAAGGCAACAAGACAATCTTTGGTACTGGAGGCCTCGAGAGAGCTTCAATCGAGCAATGGCTACAATCAGAAGCTCGAAACTTTGACCCTCCAAGCTCTGCTCTCGTTTTCCACTTAGCCTTCGCTGGACCATTAGGCATTGCTCCTGACGAGGCTCAAATCCAACAGAATGAAAAGAAACTTGCCAGAGTTCTCGATGTTTATAACAGGAAACTCGACGAGAGCAGATACTTAGCTGGAGATGAATTCACTCTTGCTGATCTCTCTCATCTCCCAAATAGCCATTATCTCGTTTCGAGGTCTGAGAGGGGGCATGATTTGTTTTATAAGAGGAAGAATGTGGCGAGGTGGTGGGACGAGATTTCGTCGAGGGAATCTTGGAAGCAGGTTGTCCATATGCAGTCCGAACATCCTGGTCCGCTGGAGAAATTCGCTATGATCGACTGAGTAATGTATGCGCTGCATGATGGTTGATGTTGTTTATGTGTTTGTTGAAGTTGTGGCTTGATTTCTGTTTTAAGTGTTTTGTTGTTGTTATTGTTGTCATGAACTAAGTTCCTCTTCCTCTGCTTGTTTGGGAGGATGGTTGGGCGGGAAAATAAGTGTTTATGTTTTGGTTATATGATAATAAAGAGACTTTTATTTTCACTTGAACTGAGTGTGTGTGTTTTTGTTTTTTTAATTTTATAGAATTAAGTGGTGTAGAAAAGCCTGTCGTGTTGCATCAGAGTCTAATAAAACAACTCCATCTACAAATTCAGAATGTCTCCCCATAAAAAAAAAGGTCACATAAATGAAAATTGTTGTTCATGCAGGGGACCATGCAAAAGAATCTTAGCCTGACAAAAATATCCCAAAAAAAAAATCGCCAAAATAACACCCGCCTGAGCTGATGAGTGAAGCTTATTTATAGGTTCTTCAGCCTGGACTTTTTACGGTTATGGCCGAAGTATGAAGTTTCTTGGCCACAGGCTATTTTCCCTCTTGTAATCACCATCAGAATGCTGACATTTCGTGATAGACATTGACGTTATGCGTCACGCTTTTGGACCAACGAGTCTGTTGGCGCCAAAAAATGGCTAGCTAATGTTACACTTGACTCCCATAACTTTAGCATCTAGCGCGTTCTAAGTCCCCGCATCTGTCAGATGAGAAACTATTGGAGACAGGATATGACAATAGTTACCTGAACATTTTGGTGACAGATCTCCACCCCTTATCCCTTACTATATAACATACATATAGGTTTTAACAAATAGTAATCCCTGTTCTCATGATTATGGCCATCTGCTCTCTCCTGCTATCAGCTCACAAGCATCATCGAGCACTTTGGAGCCTTGGTGCGAAGGCTAGTTGGAGGACTAAAGTTAGAGCTTGGAGGGTCGAAGTTTTAGAGATTCTGCTTCTAACCGTTGTTCTATGCTGCGGTGCGCTGTAATGAGCCGTCTTCTTTTGTTCATAGGAGAGATTTGTCGCCTTGGTCGGAGTATTTGTCGGGTAAGTATAGATACAGGAAAATGATAGGGGCACATCCCTAACCACAACTCTAACCACACCTTCTCTTTCTCTTGCTATAGTGCACCTGGCCCCACATTTTAAAATCCCATATGGGGCCCGTGCACTGTAGCAAGAGAGAGAGAGAGGGTGTGTGGTTGGAGTTGTGGTTGGGGTGTGCCCCTAGTGCCACCCATAGATATATTATGATATGTGACATTAATTAAGATAAACTTGATAGGACATAGTTGTTAAAGTCACACCATCTACGGCGCCACTGATCTATGCTACAGTACCACCGGCCTACATCTACAGTGCAGCTGCTACCTATGCTACAATATCCTAACTATAATCATCATGTGACTCCCTATTGTTGGGAGATTACTCAGATTTTCCTATTTCCAGACTTAAGAGGAAGCGAAATAAATGCGCAAAATGGGGGACACGCAAGGTTTACGTGGTTCGGCACAAAATTACCTACGTCCACGGGCTGCTGCAGATCTTTCACTATGAAGAGAAATTTTACAACACTCTCAATTTTCTCACAACTCAATCCCACTCTGAAAATTACTCACAATTTTCTCTCACAAAGACTTTTCTCTAAGCCTCTCTTTTCCCTCTCTTGCTCTTCTATAAGAGGAGTTGTTTCTGGGATGAGGATTCTTTAAGAGTTTGGGAGCCTATTTATAGTGTTTGGGAGAACACTGTGCATCAATAAAAAAATATTATTTCATGTGGTGGAGCCCACGGTGGGGCCCACTCACCTTCTTTGTCAACAAAACAGCCTCCCATTTCTTTGGCTATTTCTTTGCTCCACCGAAAGTTCCTCCACCTTTTTGACTAACAAAACAGCCCCCCTCTTCTGTCAATTTTAGCTGCCACCTTTCGGTGGCTGAAATATTTGACCAACAATCTCCCACTTGAAGGCTGATTTTAATCTGTCTTCACACCTCGATCTATGCAGCAGCTCTTCCCGGTCTTCATACTATTGCAGGCCAACTGAAGCTGAACACAGCTTCAGTTTGTCAGTAGTCACCGTCTTTGTCAGCATGTCTGTAGGATTTTAAGCTCCACTGATCTTTTCAAGCTTCAAAATTTCATCTTCTAGAAGTGACCGGATAAAATGATACCGCATCTGTATGTACTTCGTTCTGGAATGAAAAGATGGATTTTTCGCTAGATGAATAGCACTTTGACTGTCGCAATATAAAACATTGTCTTCTTGTTTCTTGCCTAATTCATCCAAGAAACTTTGAAGCCAAACCATTTCCTTGCTGGCTTCTGTAATAGCGACATATTCTGCTTCAGTTGTGGAGAGAGCAACTATCTTTTGCAGTTGTGAAATCCAGCTCACTGCAGTACCTCCTAGAGTATAGACATACCATGTAGTGCTCTTTCTGTGATTAACATTTCCTGCTAAATCAGCATCCACATAACCTGTTAATATTGTATCTCCACCTTTGAAACAAAGTGCTTTACCTGTGGTGCCCCATAGATATCTGAGGATCCATTTGACTGCTTCCCAATGTACCTTGCCCGGATCATTCATGTACCTGCTAACAGCTCCCACTGCTTGAGCAATATCTGGTCTTGTACAAACCATGACATACATCAGACTTCCAATAGCTGAGGCGTACGGGTAGGGATGGGCGTATTCGGTTCGGTTCGGTTTTAAGCCCAATCCGCATCCAATCCAAATTTTTCGGATTCTCAAAACTCTCATCCAGATCCAGATTTTTTCCCCTTCATCCGAATATTCGGCCCAACCGAAATTCGGTTCGGTTCGGTTCGGTTTCGGTTTTGAACCGAATTAACTCAATTTTACAAAAATCTGGGTAAGTTTTAGTTATATCCAAAACTGAAAAGAAGCAATCAAAACTGAAAAGAAACAATCAAAACTGTACTAAGCCACTTAATCAAATTGTATGATCTGAATATAACTAGCTTAATACACTAGGAGGACCATGTAATTATGTAGCCTTTTTTAGAGAAAGAACAATGTTTGGCAGGCACACACACCTTTTGATGATTTTCGTTAATTTTTAGCTGCCTTTTTCTCATCAAGAATTATCTTATATCATTGACAGCCTATACTATATGTTAATTTGATATCCAGCACCAGCAAGCTGTATTCATGTTATCACTGAAATTTGACCAAAACACTAAATTTATCCTTCAACCTCAACATCTTGTATTGATTTATGGAAATCTCACTTAACTATATCAGCGTACTCAAATATATGTTAGTATAAACTCCACCCACAATTCTTAAATGCTATACATTCAGCCATAGATTTTCTTCACACCCAAGGCTCACAGCTACTTTTTGTTTAAGAATTCGGTTCGGTTTTTTTTTGGGCGGTTCAGGGGTTCAAACCGGATCCAGACCGGTTTAATTCGGTTCGGGCGGTTTAGAGACTTCTTCTCATCCATTTAATTCGGTTCGGTTAACCGATCCGTTTTTTCGGGCGGTTTTTTCGGTTGAACCGGTTTGTTTCTGTCTTCGGTGACTGATCTTTGGAAAGTCTGAAATGAACACCTAAAGGTGTACCCACTGGTTTAGCATCTTGCATATTGAACCTGGAGAGTACTTTGTTGATGTACTCAGCCTGTGATAACATCAAAGTCCCAGACTTCGTGTCTCTCTTGATCCTCATTCCAAGAATCTGCTTTGCAGCGCCAAGATCTTTCATTGCCAACTGCTTTAACAATTTCTGCTTCAAATTTATAATCTCTTGAAGATCTGATCCTGCAACGAGCATGTCATCAACGTATAACAATAAAATAATGAAGCTATTGTCAAACCTCTTAATATAGCAATAATGATCTGCTTGGCATCTAGTAAAACCGTTGCTGCCCATAAAGCTGTCAAACTTCTTGTACCACTGCCTGGGAGCTTGTTTTAATCCATACAAGCTCTTCTTCAAACGGCATACTAGATTTTCCTTGCTTGTCTTTATGAAGCCTTCTGCTTGCTTCATATAAATCTCCTCCTCCAAATCACCATGAAGGAAAGCTGTTTTTACATCTAATTGCTCAAGATGTAAATTCTCAGCAGCTACAATTTTCAACACTAGTCTGATTGTAGTCAATTTCACGACCGGGGAGAAAATTTCATTATAGTCAATACCTTCCTTTTGCTGAAAGTCTTTGACAACCAATCTTGCCTTGTAGCGCTTGTTCCCATCATGTTCTTCTTTGATCCTATAAATCCATTTGTTATGAAGATCTTTCTTACCTAGTGGTAATTCAGCTAAGTCCCACGTCTGATTTGACATGAGCGAGTCCATCTCATCTTGCATAGCAGACTCCCACTTGACTGAATCCTTCACCTGTATTGCTTCGTCATAACACTCTGGTTTATCACTGTCAGTCAGCAACAGGTAGTGTAAAGAAGGCGAATAGCGCTGGGTTGGCTTAGGAATTCTAAGGAGCGTCTCACTTCTGGTGCGCTTGGTTCTTCTTGAACTGCTTCAGGGCTAATCTGAACATCCTTTTCAGAAATCTCCTCAAATTCAGCAAATTCTTTTTTTTTCAGCTTTTGTACTGGAGCTACTTGATTCTGCAGTTGATCTGTCTTTGTACATCACATTCTCATTGAATATGGCATCTCTGTTTCTGATGATCTTTCGATTTTCATAATCCCAAAATCGGTAACCAAACTCATCACCACCATAACCAACAAAAACACATTTGTTAGATTTGGCATCAAGTTTACTTCTTTCAGCAGAATCTATGTGTACATAAGAGATACAACCAAAAATTCTTAAATGTGAAAGGTTTACCTCTTTTCTGCTCCAAGCTTCTTCCGGTATTCCACCATCCAAGGGAACTGAGGGTCCTCGGTTGATTAGGTAGGCTGCGGTATTGATAGCTTCAGCCCATAGGAACTTGGGCAAGCCGGCATGTAACCTCATGCTTCTGGCATGTTCATTCAAAGTTCTGTTCATGCGCTCTGCTACGCCATTCTGCTGCGGTGTCATGGGAACTGTTTTCTCCATCTTGATCTCGTTGTTTGCGCAAAACTCTTTGAATATATTGTCTTTGTACTCTCCTCCATTGTCTGACCTCAACTTCTTTATCTTCAAACTAGTTTCATTTTTCACCATGGCCTTCCATTTTCTGAAGGTATCAAAGACTTCTGATTTCTTCTTCAGAAA